AGGACTGCGTAGTAATTAACGGAATTTTTAGGATTCAAATGAACAAAAGGTCTAGTGGTTTGTTTGGTAGCAGAGTAATATAACAAGTAAATAAGGACTTATGAATCAATCTAAGAATAGTGTTAGGGGAGTGGAGACGATGCGAGTAAAGACCCTGTATGATTATTCTGCTATAATAGTTATTAACCTTAATTCATCAGTTGGCCAATTTAGTTTTCTTAATTCCTTAATGAAAACCCTTTGATGAGTTTCCTGTACACTAATTCCTCAGTGTCCATGAAAAGCATCAAGCAATAGTTCCGACCATAAAATACGTGATACAGGATATCCTCATTCCTAAGCAATATCGACCGTGATACTATTTTGCAAAAGTGTTAGGTTGACTTTCCAGACTAAAACCTAAGCATAATTCGAATTCTACTTTCCAATATGAATACGATTAAGATGAATGCAAAATAAAATATATAAAGTTAATAACATAGTTCTCATAGAATAATCAAACAATAGTCATTACATCGCAACTTAGGACCACCCCCTAACAACTTGGGGTTTAGCTGCTCATGTTCTTTGTAAACATAAAAGCAATTAGAAATGAAAAGGAGAAGATCATTACAATGCGAGTTGAAATCCTTGGATCATCAATTGCTTCCGCTTTTGATCGATCCTTTGTTTTCTAGCCGAACTCTCCTCTCAGTTGTCAATCCTAATATCAGTTCAAAAAGTGTCTCCTACTTTCTAAAAAGTGACTCTTATATCTAAATTCAAATTACATCGCGAAATGTCTCAAATGCCCTTCGAAATAGGTCTGACAGCAAAAATTCAGAAAATACAAAAATTTCACTCTCAGTGGCCCTGACACGGGCCGTGTTGTGCAACACGGGTGGCCGTGTCAGGCTGCTGACTTCTTCAGGGCGTGTTTCATCTCCAAGGGCTGCAACACGGGCCGTGTTGCATGACACGGGCACCCGTGTTGTACGTCTGAGTCTCCTTTTCTTCTGCTTTGGTCTACCCGTGTCTGCCAACCGTGTCCTCCATGACACGGGTCGTGTTGTGCAACACGGGTACCCGTGTTGTAGCTCTGACTTCCCTTTTCTGACTTTTCTTTGCCTCCGAAAGCGGTGCGACTGTCGTGCTATCCATTCCTGCCAAAAACACCTAAAAGAAACCGAATCAAACGCACCAGCGGCAAAAGTATTATAAACTTAAAAATAAGACTTGAAGACACACAACTACGAGTAATTCAGATAATAACAACTAAAGCTTCGAAAACAGATAAAAACATTGCGAAATTAACAACAAATAGCGTTTGAAAACACAAGTGAAATCCACCGATCACTACACGTGTTTGCTTGCATGTGCCTCTGAAACTCTTTGAGAAATGAAATGTTAGGCAACGTTCAGATCCTCTGAGCCTTGTTAGTTCAGATTTACACACAAATAAATAAACACAGAATTGAACAGAAGAAATACTTCAGAGTTTAGACATTTATCATCTGAGAAAAAATTTCATCTGATGAATATTTTATTCTGGACAAAAGTCCATACTTATATTCTTCAGAATAAATTTAAATCTATCTTCAGCAAGGGGTTTTGTAAAGATATCAGCCCACTGATGATCTGTATCCACAAAATTTAAATTGATAATTCCCTTCTGAACATAGTCTCTGATGAAATGATGTTTAATCTCTATATGCTTAGCTTTAGAGTATAAAATGGGGTTTTTAGATAAGCATATAGCAGAAGTATTATCACAGAAGATAGAAATGTTACTCTCAAAAATCTGATAATCTTCCAGTTGACTTTTCATCCAGAGCATCTGGGTGCTACAACTAGCAGCAGCTATATACTCTGCCGCTGTTGTTGAAAGTGCAATTGTGGGTTGCTTCTTGCTGAACCAAGAGATCAGATGACTTCCAAGAAATTGACAGCTTCCAGATGTACTTTTATGTTCTACTTTGTCTCCAGCATAGTCAGCATCACAGAATCCAACTAATTTATACTCATCAGATCTTCTGTAACACAGACCCACATTAGTAGTACCTTTCAGATACCTTAGAATCCTCTTAACAGCTGTTAAGTGAGATTCTCTAGGATCTGATTGGAATCTAGCACACAGACACACACTGAATAAAATATCAGGTCTTGAAGCAGTTAAATATAAGAGAGATCCAATCATACCTCTGTAAAGTTTTTGATCAACTTTCTTACTTACCTCTTCCTTACCAAGTGTGCTTGTAGGATGCATTGGAGTCTTTGCCAATTTGCTTTCATTCAGATTGAATTTCTTCAGAAGCTCTTTGACATATTTAGTCTGGTGAATATATGTGCATTCTGGAGTCTGATTTACTTGGATTCCCAGAAAGAATCTAAGTTCTCCTATCATGCTCATTTCAAATTCAGCCTGCATAGACAAAGCAAACTCCTTTCCCAACATAATATTGGTAGATCCAAAAATAATATCATCTACATAAATTTGACAAACTAGTAAATCTTTTTTAAATGTTTTACAGAAAAGAGTTGTGTCCACTTTGCCTCTGATAAAGTTCTTTTCCAGAAGAAAATTACTTAATCTTTCATACCAAGCTCTGGGAGCTTGTTTCAAACCATAAAGAGATTTTTTGAGTTTGAAAACATGATCTGGAAATTTATCACTTTCAAAACCAGGAGGTTGGTGGACATAAACTTCTCCTTCTATAATGCAATTTAATAAGGCACTCTTAACATCCATCTGATAAAGAGTGATGTTATGTTGTGCAGCAAATGAAATAAGAAGGCGTCTAGATTCTAACCTTGCCACTGGAGCATAAGTTTCAGTGTAATCAATTCCTTCTTGTTGACTGTAACCTTTAGCTACCAACCTTGCTTTGTTCCTAACAACTTCTCCTTGCTCATTTAGTTTATTTATGAATACCCACTTTGTTCCAATAATGTTGAAACCTTTTGGTCTAGGAACCAGATCCCACACATCATTTCTTGTAAATTGATTCAGCTCATCTTGTATTGCAAGTATCCAATCATTGTCACTCAGAGCCTCATCCACAGATGTTGGTTCAATAATAGACACAAACCCAAGAAGTGATGTTCCAGATGATCTGATAAATGACCTTGTTCTTATAGGGTCATCTTTCTTCCCAATAATCATTTCTTCTGGATGAGAAGCTTTGATTCTGGATGATCCTTTAACTGTTGGTTCTTCAAAAATATTCATGTTATTCATCTGAGCAGCCAATGGAGTTGCATCTGGCGTAGCTTCTTCTTGAGCTTTCTCTACCTCTGGCTTCTCAGATTCTATGAGAATAACTTCTCCATCTGCAGAGTTTTCAAACTGCTTTGGCTTTTGATTGCCAAGCTTATCATCAAATCTAACATGTATAGATTCCTCCACAATCTGTGTCTCAGTATTGTATACTTTGTAGCCTTTAGAGCATTCAGAATATCCAAGCATGAAACACTTTTGTACTTTAGAATCAAACTTGTTAAGATTCTCTTTAGTGTTCAGCATAAAACAAATACATCCAAAGGGATGGAAATAAGAAATGTTTGGCTTTCTATTCCTCCATAATTCATAAGGAGTCTTTTCTAGAATAGGTCTAATAAACACTCTGTTCCGAATGTAACATGCTATGTTAATTGCTTCTGCCCAAAAATGTTTTGCCATGTTAGTCTCATTGATCATGGTTCTGGCCATCTCTTGCAAAGTTCTATTTTTCCTCTCTACAACTCCATTATGTTGTGGAGTTCTAGGACAGGAGAAATCATGAGCAATGCCATTTTCATTAAAATATTTTTCAAAATGTTTGTTTTCAAATTCACCACCATGATCACTTCTGACTTTAACAATTTTGAAATCTTTTTCAGTTTGGACTTGTTTGCAGAAGTCAAAGAATACAAAGTGTGACTCATCCTTGTGTTTTAGGAATTTTACCCATGTCCATCTGTTGTAGTCATCAACAATGACTAATCCATACTTCTTGCCTCTGATGGATGC